TGGAGTGCACCAATCGATTGATGAAGGCCATTGGCATTTGGAACCACACTCTGAGAAAGGCCTGGCGCAATAAATCGGCAGTGTTCGGCCATGGTTTGACATTATTCAGACTCCTCTGAATTTCATCCCAAAGATGTTCAATTGCGTTTAAAGCAGGACTATGGACTGACCACTGCATAATGCTGCCACCGTTCTGCTGTAGGAAGACCCGTGTAGCTCTGGCAGTATGGGCCCGGGCGTTATCAAGCTGGAAAATGTTGTTCCGGTGACGTGCAAAATGTGGTATGACCTGGGGTCTGAGAGCTTGGTCGATGTAGTGCACCGCTGTGATGCCGCCTCCTCTCCCTGGACCAAGGTTCTGGAACACCACAGGACCCACTCTCTGGTTGTGGGCCTATTCCACCCCACACCACGATGCTTGCACCTCCCCATGAGTCTATTTCCATAACACACTGGTCTGAGTAACGCTGGCCACGTCGTCGCCATATTCTTGTTCTGCCATCTGCAGTTGATACGCAGTACCGACTCTCATCTGTGAACAGAACAGTTCTCCATTGCCTGTATCGCCAGTTTTGGTGTTGTAGGGCAAACTGTAGACGTTCACACCGATGACGAGGGGTGAGGAGAGGTCCACGGTAAGGTCTACGGCAATGGAGGTTACCGCTGTTAAGACGTCGGCGTACTGTATCAGTACTGATTGGTCTTTCGTGTGTTCCCACTGTCTGGCGTGCTGTTTCGGATGTCTGCATGAAGGGATTCTGTAAATGCTGTTGCACAACATGGCAGTCTTGTCGTCTTGTGGTCACCCTTGGTCTGCCAGTACGGGGGCGATCATTTGTGGTGTTGGTGGCTCAGAAACGTTGCTGCAGCCTGTAGATGGTCCGAACGTTGACCTGGAAGTGACTGGCAACGGCTTGTGCAGTGTGGCCAGCTTCAAGTCTTCCTAGCGCCTGGTTCCTCTGAGCTGTCGTGAGTCGCGGCATCCTGCTGACGTTGTAATGGGAATGTTTCAACCAGGTTTGGGGTGTATTTTGTAGGGCTGGTCCTTGTGAACAGCACGTGCAGCATGAATTGCATGAAAAACATCGAGAACACCGTACCATCTCCGAGATCAGGTTGCGTTTATGAGACCATTTCCTGGGTTCAATTCTGAGTTTGGGAAGGAATGTCTTTGCACAGGTAAAGTTGGAGATGTTGTCAAAAATATACAATCAAAACATGAAATAAGTTTACAGTTATCCGTTTCTGTGAAGGAAAATTCCATCATGACGTTTCATTTGCTGCTTAGTATATATAATATTTTCTAAATTCCATATTAACATCGTGGGTGGTCATCAACATATACATGTCAGATAATATAAGATCAAGGAAAGATCAGGATAGCGTTGGATCCATGTTGTATCTTATCGTAAAAATATGAACTTAATCGTCCTGTTAATGAGCCTAGTGTTATGCTAATCGACATACATGACGTCATTGCAAAGGCAAAGTACGCATGGACGTGAAGAATACATCTGCTAAAGTACCTTAACCTGGTCATTTCTTTAGAATACAATTGAACGAAGGCAGGGGAGACTCCTTCAGATACATACTGGAATGACCATAAAGAAATAGAATGTCACCTTTTCGTGACAGAATGTGGACATGTGTTAAATTCCCTCTTCAGTTCAGCCTAGTTATTAATTTTAGTAATCATACCTTTTGAACTGTCAATAAATTCAGTAATTCATCTAAAAGTTTATTTACCACAGAATCTATTCCCATGGATAACAGCATGATGAAGAACAGCACTGCCCACAACTGAGAGACTGGTAGCTGGGCAATTGCTTCTGGATAGATGATGAACCCTAGCCCAGAACCTGGTACACACAATTACTGATTTAGTGGGTGTAGTATTACACACAGGCATACACATACCTTGATGTCTTTTGAAAGCGAATGTGCGAGAGGATTGAGTTACACAATTCTAGAATTATTCCTTTCATGGGGGTGGGGGACGATTTTGTCATGGAAGAACACTACATCCGTGAACGTGGTCATAAAACTTGCGCAATGATCATACATTCGGGCTCGGTTCAAAATTGTCTCTGTGAAGTGGCAAAAGAAGATTGAGCTCAACAAGACTTAGTTAAGTTAACTCAGCGTACGTCGTTCACAATGATTCTATGAATGATAACAACAGGTGTTAAGGTTCGTCCGTTTCATCCGGAAGCGAATTTAAGTTTCATAAAAGCAAAAGTGTGTAGCCGAATACCACCCAATCAACATCAAGTCTGGAACACATAAGCCAGTGATCAATACTGTGAACAATTGTCCACTTCATACAAATAACATTAACATAAAAGTCATGATTGTTTACCCGATGACACAACTTCTGATATAGGTATCTGAGCCTGTTGCGCCATGAAACCCAGTGTAGAGAAGATAACAAGACCACAGAATATACTGCTGCCTTCACCAATCACAGTAATTAACACAACGTCTCTGAAAAATGACAATTTAGAAACAGTTATTGTGGTCCATTTCTGGAAAATCAACAACAATCAACCCTGCATGCATTGGCTGCCAATACAACTTTGATGATCATAGTATAACCACTCAGTACACTCAGCAGCGTTAGAAAAAGAGGTTTTGACTTCTTCAAATGATCAATGTTAACAATGTATATGTATCGATATACATGGTAAATGGTTAGATTAGAACTTTGTAATGTTTCATAGGTCATATGCATACACTTTTCATGCATGTGAATGTCTATCATCAGTACATGCATACAAGCTTTCATTATCTCAATATCTAAATTCAGACGCCCTTCTGACGAAGACCTGTTAACCTGAAGCAGTTGTTGTGGAAGTTGTTGTAGCTGCTCATGGTGATGAGGCCTCCGTATGTTGCACTCATAGAATAAAACCCTTGTAGCAAAGCTTCCAGCCAAACCTTTGGGTGAAATAAGAAAATGTTATATTGTTTTACATGTGTTACATGAGAACAATAGTTGATATTCATATGTCCGTTAACAGTGATGTTTTGAATCCCTACCATGCCCTCTATATTGTTTAAAAAATGTTTATGCCATGAGTTATAGCTGAGCATCTGACCTGTACATGTCCGAGCCGAGAGAAGTCAGGACGTAGGAAATACAGTATACCCTCCCCAGCACCCGGCATCATGCACGACCTGACCAGCAGCACTGTTAGGAGAACGTAGGGAAGAAGGGCAGTCACGTACACAACCTGTTTTATAGAAAATTGAGAAAGGATAAATAATTCAGGGAAATATTCAAATCTGGTCAGGCACAAATTGGTGGAATACATGGTAAACGTCTAGAATTATGGACTATAATAACACAATAACACCGATCACATATCCTGATCACTCGACAAACGTGACATTACTTGAATTTGGTCACCAAAGGGTTAACTGGTTCAAGGAATATTGTTTGACCAACCGCAAGGAGTATTTCTTGGATAATTCACAGGTTCAGAAACGTAATGAGGTAGGATAATGCTTTTGGCCTCTTATGAACACCAGTGTCATATTCCAAAATGAATCATGGAAGTGTTTGGTCTGATGTGTATGATTGATATCCCACCTTTCCAACAGACTTCACTCCTTTCATCAGACACAAAAAGACAACGACCCAAGAGACAAGGATGCAGAGGAGAAGATGAACCTGGACCGTTCCGAAATTGTCAATACCGCTCGACACTTGCAGTGTGTTGTACCTGTCAAACCAACAATACTTATCAAAATAGATCATGCGGCATTGGCTATATCGTGATTGTAATGATTCAGTCATGCCATGTTTATTGTAGCTATCATATAATATTTAAATACGATTTAATTATCACTGTTGTTTTTCTGCTCTGATGTCTAAAGTAAGATCTCATCATCTTTAAGTCTCGGGTTCATCTACCAAAATACGCAGGTTTTCTCTAACGCATTTTGTTCTACTGTAGACAAGAATTAATATTTCTCAAGTCCAATATCAAATCAAACTGTAAAATATGTTCAATAAGTCTTTCTTGAAAAAATACTTAGAGAATAAATAAACTTTAATAAGCTTGAGATGACACGGGTCTGCAATTTAATTGCAGAGATACCTTTGCCTTCATGCTAATAATATCTTTATCAACTTAGTAAGAACACATGCCTAAGGTATATTACAATACAACATATACAATCAGACATAATATAAACATATAAATATAATTGTAAAATGTCAGCTCACAACAGCATACTTTCAGTTTAAGAACTTTGAGTGGCATTTTAGAGTTGGGAAAGTACAATATAGAACAAACATTGTTTTATGGATAACAACTGACTTAGTTTTTATATTCAATACAATGAGTGCGACGTTTCGATACAGATTCTTGTACCGTGCTTGACATGCTTGACAACGGTACAAGAATCTGTATCGAAACGTCACATTAACTTTCAACGAATAAAAAGAAGTTGTTATCCAGAAAAGTTTAATTCTATATTGTACTTTCAGTTTGTATTTATGTTATTGAATCTGTTACAAAAAGGCAGGATAAATGAACATAGCTAAATCTTTACTATTTGTATTTGATAACAGTAAATAAAATTTAGTTAAATGTGGGTATGTAAAGTTATAAGATTGCAGGTATCTTTCTCTAAGGTGTGAGTAAACGGGGCGTACAAGTAGAAAATGATACTCATCTTCATCTAAATTTTAGTTACAAGCATTGCAAATTCCTTGGTCCCGACTAATCTGTTTATATAATGCCTTCATAGTAACATATAACAATTTAAACTATTTACAATGGCAGTGAAAGTTCTGTTAGTTCTTGAGCTCTAGACACGTGGGCAAGGCTGTTCTAGGGGTGTTGGTTAGTGAAAGGAAAATGGGGTTTAGGATGGTGATGGGGATGACTCAGACTTACATTTTGATCTAAAAAATATTGAGATGACACAGATTGGGCTCTGACCTCTGTAAACACACTTTAATTTTGATGTCCTAAAACCTCAGATCTTACTGCCAAAACTCCTCTGACGCCGTCAACGTTACATTCGGCTTCCGCCATACAGAGTTGAGCAGCTGCTGATCCTCCGTACTGTTCGTCATGTAGGCGTCAGTGATTGATGAGCTGTTGCTAAGCTTAGTGACACACAGGGGCGTGTTCCACCAGTTGCCACATGTCGTCCATGGCAACACTGACCAGAAAGATCGGTACAAGTAGTAAACAGACCAGGCAATGATGACGTTGTAAGGCAAGGATCCAATGAATGAAACTGCAACCTGGGAGATGCCAATACCTGAAAACAACGTTAACTAGTGAGTGATGAGGTTGGTTTGATAGCAGATTGAATTGTAGTCCAGTTGTATCTTGGCAGGTCAGGCCACGGACAACAACAGCCTGTCTTAAGTACACATATTCACCGAGAGTTCGAAATCTGTACTAATTGTACACCGCACACCAAACACACACACACACGCACGCACGCACGCACACACACAGGCACACACATATGGACGAGGCCATTGCAAAGGCACATTACGGACGAATGTGAAGATTACATCTGCTAAAGTACTTTAACCTGGTCATTTGTTTAGAATACCATAGAATTGCTCCAGAAGGTAGCCAAGGGAGACTGCTTCAGATACATACTGGAATAATCATCAGCAAATGGAATGACACTTTTTTTGTGACAGAATGTGGTCATGTGTTAATTCCTTATTTTGTTCAGCCTAGCCATTCATTTTAGTAATACCTTGTCAGCAGTCAATAAATTCGAAACACAATTCTATATACATGTATAATGCATGCACATGTCCTTTTGTCTTACTATTGAAACGCCCTTTATCATACAGAGAGTCAAGTTGTCAACAATTTCAATAACCATAACTCAACGTCTCATGGGAATGCTGACAGATAGGGTCGAAATATTTTGTTCCAAGTTCTCTCCATTCAATCTACACAACAGTCATTCATATCTATTGTGAGACATCTCGCTTCGCTGAAGATCACTTTTATACTGGGACTGTGCGGCACCCTTAAAGGTGGCTGTTGGAATGTATGATGTACAAAAGCCAACTGTTCCATCACCGACACCGGCTAAACCTAGTACGATAGTTAAATGTGGGCTGGTCTCACTCGTTATTCAGTTATAAAGATCTTTATTAGGGTCAGTCGTACACATTTTGAAATGTAGATAATTTTATAAAAAATGTTTACTCAAAGAGTCCTCAACTGTACGAATAAAACTGGCATTCTGAATTATTACAAAAGAAATATTTATGTTATTTATTCACCCATTAAAACTGTACTTAACAAAGAACGATATATTAATGCTGTGAAGAACCAAAAATACAGAAGGTCATTACTTCTGTTCAGAAAACGTTGTCTGGTCCAGATTATTTACAGACCGCCGCCATATAGCTGGAATATTGCTGAGTAAAACTAAACTCACTCACTCCATTCAGAAAAAAATGTAATCGTCTAAGAGTACAAAATGTTAGGAAAGGTTTCTGTAGTGCTGAAAATGATGATGCTAAATGTCCCCTGTGTAATGTATTAGAAGATTGGAAACATATATTTTATCAATGTTCATTATATACTAGTCTCCGAATGGAATTAACTGTCTCTTTACAATGTAACATACGTCCGGATAATTTTAAACATTAACTGAATTCAAATTATACAAATACTTCGTTTATATAAATAAGATCCATCTACAACAATTGTAACGCGCATTTGCATGACTTTCTCTATATGTTTGTATGAATAATGGCTCATTTGGCCTTGAAAACAATAAGGATGATGCTGCTGATGTTTTTGGAAGTTCTTAGATGACTTGGACGAAGCACTCTCGCCCCGCATCGTTAAGTAATCGCCGTGGAAGAAACGGGTTTAGACTTCATGATATGTCAGTGTCTGTCATGCATTGAAATTAACCTGGTTTTACAGTTAACAGTCTTTCCAGTCGGGTGTTTGTTGTGGCATTTGCACTACCGTTTTTAGCAATTGAACGAAAATTGTGCAACGTGTTATCTAAGAAAGTGAGTGAGCAGGCACGGTTATTGTGCCATCTGAGGTTAATCGTCACGTAACTAATGAACGTAGAAGAATAACTTTTTAACAAATCTGTTCATAGAGAGGATGTCGCAAGATTGGTTTACTGATGATAGCAATTCGTCATGTTGACTATCGTTAATGCAGTTACTGTTCCCAATTAGAAAAATATAACTTGACAGGTAATAGATTGTGAAGTATTTTTTGACGGCCAAACTGTTCAACCAACCCCTACTCTTCTATCCAGAGAAAAATTTAATTATTTTCCAGTTGATGTCAACATTCGATTAAAGTTCTATGAAAAGAAAGAGAAAAATACTCCACAAAGATAATGTATTTATCAATAAAATCCTACATCTGCAAGCGGAGTTCACATGAATAAAATTCTCTCATGTTCATGCTTGACGAGTCAACATAAGAACAGATGACTTCATAAATGTTTCAACAATACGCTATGGTGGGATCCAAGTAAGCGTCTGATAGGCTTGTTTCGAACCCAGCTTCACATTCTGCTAAAAAGTCCAATTTAATTACACATGTCTTTCAGGAAAAGGTGACATTCCATTTGATGATATGTCCTCGTATGTACCAAAGCGAATCAACCCTCAATACATTCCTATGAAGCTCGATGACACCACTTAAGCATCCCAAGGCTAAGATTTGAAACGCTTTCACATTCACATTTCTAATGCAAAAGAAGCGGCACAACCAAGTAAGCATCAAGACATTAACCAGCAATAAAACCCGAATCGTTGATTTGTAATCGTTAAAGAATCTTCTCAATACATTTATGTAAAATACGAGTTTAATAAATTTAGATTTATATTTATAATAAAGTATTTTTTTCCACGTTTGTCCAAGTAAGTTCTTTTTTTCATGTTTCAATTGGCTAAAGTAGTTATAATTACCAACACCTGAAGAGATCAATTAAATCCAGCTGGGGTCCTTGTAGGAAGCTCTGATGCTGTGGTCAACTCAACTGTCGATGCGTACCCCGTGTTTATGGTGTATTGTTGTGTATAGTGATCTCTTGTCATGGTTACCTTATTTTACATAGAAATACGTGATGAACTACTTGTTTTACTGTCCCTTGGCGGCAGGTCTTTGTAGTCTAAATGTATTGAGCAATGCTTATAAATTGTTCCTGTCACGATATAGCTGAAATATTACCGATGTCGCAAATGATGATGTTTGCAATAGTAAAACAGAACCTGTATACCTGTATGTTTTTTATATGTGTAGCATTATAAGATACGTTGTGACAAAATGACCAAGGAAGTCGGAAGATATTTGTTGATTGTATCCCCTATATAGAAAGGCGTCTGACAAACCTTTAAGCAATGGACAAATAGACCAAACGTGTAATGCACTCTTGCTCGAGAACTGGCCAATGGAAACCTCAAGGAAAAAGAGTGGAACAGAACACGTGAGAATCCCAGCAAAGTAGGGAATGAGAAAAGCACCTGGAGAACAGAAAACAAAATCAACTTTACTAACTTCCGAGACATAATATGCATTGTACTAAAATCAAAACGACGTTTGCTAGCTTTTCATGGAGTGGTGTGAATTTGATGAATTTGTGAATTTGGATCTGTTGTCCAAACTGATGTCCATATCCCATGGTTCCTGAGTGAGTTAGTGAGTTAATATTTAACGTCACATCGGCAACTTCTCAGCCATATCGTGACGAAAACAATTTATACAATAAAAAGTGAAAACATTTGGAGGATTAAAAGCTGTCGACGATGGACAGTAAAAATACTAGAGAATCACAGATGTGAATATAAAACTAGCGAGCAAAGTTAAAACATTCCAATTAAAGAAGACAATACAGTATAAAACACGGGCTATAGATCGCCAACAACTGAAGGGTCCCTTGGTTCCTGAATAGTAAATTTAGGTTTTATTTCTCAAATTGCGAGGTGATCAATACAGGTTCTCATGAGGTGAAATGGTTTTTAGTGTTGCACTGAAAGTGTTTACGCTCATATGGCGTACGTGTTCTTATTAGTCGAAACCTAGTTCGTTTGTACTCAGCTACGTGTAGCTCCCTGGGAGAGTCTGCTACAGGCTGATATCGATACTCAACTCAAACATAGCACACTGACTACGAGTTGACGAGTCGCTGTTTTATCTCGGCAATGCCTTGTGCAAGGCAAGGTAACAAGTGGCGTTTTCTTGCCAAAAACCATGGTCCAATGTTTCGATACTTTCATATCCTTATCAAACTGATATGGAGAGAACGTTTAGGAAGTGATTATCCTCGTCCTCGTCAAATGTGCAAGTACGGATACCGATGCCTGTTTTCCTAACTAAACGCCGGTATCCGGACTTACACAATTGAAGAGTGTCGAATAAAGCGACACGCATGTCTGTCTGCCTTACAAAATCAGAATAACACGAGACATATTCGTCACCCACGTTTCTAGGTGAAGTGCATGACTTTGAATTACGTGTTACGAGTGAACAATTTATGAGCGAACGTACATCACAATTCTTTTTGTTCACACTAATCATCAATATATTTGTCTACAGGATCTCAAAAAATTGATTTTTATGGCGACAGTTTTGTATGGGAGGTCCAATAACTGATTTCAGGAAATATGGATCTTCCCGCGTAAATATCCGTATTCCAAATATATGATAGTATATAGATTTAGAAAACCATACGTTCATTCACAATGTACTGTGGATTTCGTGTAAACACGCCAATTTCTTGCAAGCGTTTTCAGGGTGTGTACAGGAACATGGTCGGAGTAAAATCCGAAATTTATAATTACAGAAAGTGTTTCAGTGTGTTGATGTACGGTTCATTTAAAAACATTAAATTTGTTTTTTATATTGCTTCAAACCCATTTAAACGCTTTTGGCATGCAGTGTCTGTCACGTGCAATTGGCATGTTGGAAGTTGGAACCAGACAGAATATTGTTGCATGAGCTCAGTAATTTGCGGATTGCAATCACGAAAAGATGCTGATGACAGACGTCGATCTGGTCGACCAAGAACGACAACGAGCGCTCAAGACCGTTTCATTAGAACGACTGTGTTACGAAACAATGATACACAAGTCGCTCAAATTGAAAATGCAGAGCTACAGGTGATCGAAAGAGAGAGTAGACAGAAGAATTCGCAGTCCGTTACACAGATGGAACCTGTCTGCTTGACGTCCACGTATTTTGCGAAGCCTGGCCGTCACATTACTACGGAAGCGCTGAAGGGACCTGATGAAATA